ATGTTCTATCGGGAGCTCAACAAGGCCAACTGGCCTGGGTCTGAAAAAGCATGGGATAAAACTGAACTCGCTGAACATAGCGGACAATGAGGACTGCTGAGAAGTCAAGAACAATGGCACTGGGTTTTGATCCTACTGCACGTACTGGCTTTGTGGGAGCCTAGGCTGTTTGGATGTTCACCTTACTAGACCTGGAAGGAGGTGGGAGGTCCTTGGACTCCCCACAGGGCAGGGAACCCTGAATGCTCTTTGGACTGGGGAGGGAGGAGGAGTTGGTTGGGGGAGGGGGAGGGAAATGGGAGGCGGTGGCGGGGAGACAGAAATCTTAAATAAATAAATAAATAAATAGAACTGCATTATAGTAAATAGTTCCGTATTATAGAAAATCATGATGGAGTCAGGGCAGCCCGTTACAGTGAAATATGCCACAAGCCTTGCACAATGGATGGATGTTCACAGTGAGTAGAGCAAATTCGTTTAATTTAGGCTTGCCACCTAGCAGTTTCATCTCAGGCTGGGTTGGCTCACCATACTGATAATGAATTAAGCATTATTTCCAGAAAGTTTTATTACGTGAAGAAGCTGTGCTAGTCACTGGCTTAGATTTTTCTTGTTCTCCTGTATCACAGGTATCCCAAATGCTAAAAGGAGAAACTGGACCAAATTAATTGTTTATAAATTTTTCAAATTCTAAATCTGAATGTTTGCTCAGTTCTTTGAAATAAACGCTCCAAGTGAATTCATTTTTTGTAATGCCCAAATATAAGCATTCCTCAGAAGTGTACAATAGTATTGAAGAACAAGTAGTAATTATGTCAAAAGATTCAAGTATGTATGAGTTCTGTATGGGTTGGGCCAAGCCAGATATCAAGATCATGAAGACAAATTGTTTTTTACTTGCAACATTAATTTCTAGAGGTCATTCTAGGGTGAGATTTTTATATTAAAAATACAGAGTGGGTAAGATAAGGACACTTGCTGTCAAGCTTGATGACCCAAGTTTGATTCTTGGAACCTGTTGGAGGAAGGAAAGAAGAAATTCTACAAGTTATTCTCTGATTTCCACATGTTTATCAAGGCACACACATGCTCACTAATGCACACACACAAACATACACATACATGCGAAGAAGATAAATAAATATAAAATAAAACCATGTGTAGGTGGTAAGGAATGCTGTGTAGTTTGCATTTTTTCCTGTGGCAAACCAGGGGACCAGATTATACAAAACCAGGTACTCATAAATAAAGGTGGCTGAAAGGGAAATTTTATCACAAAAATAAATACATCACATACACACACATGAAAAAGCTAACCTGCTCATAGGCAGAATATTCTGTCCCGCCAGACAACTCCCAAATAACAGAGACTTATTCATTATAAATGCTTGGCCCATAGCTTATGCATATTACTCAACTAGCTCTTACAACTTAATCTATAAATTGTGCTTAAGATTCTGAAGCTTTGAATCCAAGAAAAGAAATTCCAAATCTAAAGGGGCCAAGCTGTCCATTGAGGAAAAATTAATCTATGAACCAAAGGAATACTGGAAGATCCTAGATAAAGACTTAAGACAGGGAAGTTAGTTGGAAGAATGTGGTGGGAAGAAAAACAGAGGGAGAGGTGTCACTCAAGAAGGAGGTGACTTGATTCTCACCATGACGGTGGAAATGAGTGGATGGGATGCGGATTTTGGAAGAAGCTTATTGGATAAGATGTGAGTGTGAGCAGAGAGCAGCCTTAGGGTGGAGTGCCAGTGTCATTAAACCTTAGAACACAATGTGACACAGACCCAGGGGAAATTACACACTAGAGTTTCTAACCTTATTCACAAAGCTAGTGGGCGATTTACGCATGATACGCCGGCAGGGTTTTCAGAGTCACGGACCTTTGCTACTTTCTCTCTCCTTTAAGATTCATGTTATTGCAAATATCATTAGAGGTGACCACTTTCCCCTACTGTGTATGAAACAATTTATGAAATGAGGGCGCTATAACTCAACCCCATTTAATTAGCCTGTCTGCCATGGAGGTACGTTTTCTCATAGTGATGCCTGCTCACTTCAGTGCTACTGCAGATGGGGGCTCAGGAAACAGGTTCTGAGGCAGGTTTGGGGGTGCCATGTGTTTATCAGGATCCACACCTGTGAAAGGAAGGTGGAGGAGCCAGGATGGCCCAAGAGAAAACTAAGGCAACAGGAAGCTATGAAGTACATTTTCCACATGAGAGCATCATGCGTCGGGCCAAGCCGGCTCAATAACCTCTGTTGCTTAGTCAGTGGTCAGGGGCTATCTGTCCCCAGGAGGCTCTGCTTTTGGATGAAACTGATTTTTGCAGCCAAGTCCAACCCTGAGGGAAGTGACAGTAGAGGCTGCCTGCTGACCGAGTTTCATCAGCAGCAAAGTCACTCCTGAAAAGGGTTGATCCACTCCTGCGTTCTCCACAGTGAGAGTGAAGAGTTCATTCTTCAACTGATGTGTCTGTTTCTTTCCAAAAATTCAAGACATCCAGCCCCCCACTAATCAAGTATTCATCAGTAGACGCAATGGCATAAAGGAAGATTAGGAGAGAAAACAAGATTAGGAGGTGACCAAGAACAAGAATGGCACAGTAGAGGACCTAGGAAACAGGGTTAGCAGGTAAAGCGTTTGCCACACAAGTAAGGGGACCCAGTAGGTCATTAGTTCTACATAAAACCTTGGTCTACCAAAAAGAGGAACATGGGATGTACTCACTCATATTTGGTTTCTAGCCATAAATAAAGGACATTGAGCCTATAATTAGTGATTCTAGAGAAGCTAAATAAGGAGAACCCAAAGAAAAACATATAGGTATCCTCCTGAATATTAACCTTCATCAGGCGATGAAAGGAGACAGAGACAGAGACAGAGACCCAATTTGGAGCACCGGACAGAAATCTCAAGGTCCAAATCAGGAGCAGAAGGAGAGAGAGCACGAGCAAGGAACTCTGGACCGAGAGGGGTGCACCCACACACTGAGACAATGGGGATGTTCTATCGGGAACTCACCAAGGCCAGCTGGCCTGGGTCTGAAAAAACCTGGGATAAAACCGGACCCGCTGAACATAGCGGACAATGAGGACTACTGAGAACTCAAGAACAATGGCAATGGGTTTTTGATCCTACTGCACGTACTGGCTTTGTGGGAGCCTAGGCAGTTTGGATGCTCAGCTTACTAGACCTGGATGGAGGTGGGTGGTCCTTGGAGTTCCCACTGGGCAGGGAACCCTGATAGCTCTATGGGCTGACAAGGGAGGGGAACTTGATTGGGGGAGGGGGAGGGAAATGGGAGGAGGTGGCGGGGAAGAGACAGAAATCTTTAATAAATAAATAAACGGGGAAAAAAAAAAAACCTTGGTCTGGCGGTGTGTGCTTGATCTCAGCCCTGCGAGGGCAGAGAAATGGATCAGCGGGTGCCAGCGTCCCATGGGAGAGAGGCTGGCTCTTGAGAAATGACACCAGATTTGACCTCTTGCCACTGCTGTGCACATACATATGTGTGCATCTCTCATGTGCACCCTCAACAGGTGCACACAATACGATGAGCAGCACAGAAAAAAAATACCCTTGAATAGAGTTATGACAGCCACTCCCCCAGTTATCACTTTTGAAAATAATTAAGTCAACACATCTTTAAAAATATTAGAAAATCAGTCTGTGAAATTCAAGCGGTCTCTTGTTGCTTGACAAAGCATGGATAAAAAAGACTGGTTGTCCGTGATGATTCAGAGAAATGACAGCTCAGGTGTTTTCCCCATCTGTCCTTTTTGATTTATAGCATATTATGCAGTTTTAAAATGATACAAACTTAGAATGCTGATTCTAAAATTTTAATAAGGAAAACTGGTTTTGCTTACGCCTAATGACCGGCCAGTTCTCTTGCATAGGGTCTGTTTTAGCCACACCTGTGGCCAGGACACCGTTGCCTTCTTCTGAGATGTTTTTCCTGACAGCATTTGGGATTCTCTTATAGCAGATACTAGTTATTCGTATCGATGCAAATGTGCATTTTTATTAGAATTTTTTGGGTTATTGTGATTTATGCCTTGGCCTTCATGGACTTCTTGTAATTTATCAAAAAGGTTAATCTGCTCAGTTAGAATATTATATGCATTCAGATGGAGAGTACACAAATATTTTACATAGTTTTATTTGAACTATTATATTTAGTGTTAATTGTAGCGATATTTAATTTGTATTTTAATAAATAAAGCTTGCCTGAAGGTCAGAAAAGCAAAACAGCCCCACTGGTCAGCCTCACAGACCAGGCAGTGATACACACCTTTAATCCCATTAGACACACTAGTTTCCCACAGAAACCAGACAATAGTGGTGCCCTCTTTTAATCCCTGCCTTAGAGAGGAATATAAAATGGGAGGAGACAGCTCTCAGATATATTCAGTCTCATTCTGAGATTCCTGGAGGCATGCTTGCCATTTCAGACTGACGTAGAGGTAAGAGCCAGTGGCTGGCTGTTTTGCTTTTCTGATCTTTGCCTCAGGCAAGATTTATTAAAATAAATACAGATGAAATATCACTACAATTAATTAAAAAATTTCTCAAATTTAACTTTGAATTAGAAATTCATTGGTGCTTCAATATCTACTCATGTAGTTTGATGAATAGAGATACAACGCTTAAAATATTTACTGTTGATGACAAACATATTTTTAAAAATGTCTGGAATTCAAGTACATTGAGTAGCATCATAATTTCTAGCACTGGCAACGTTCTATCTAGCTCACAGAATTGTCTTAAGCCCCATTGGAAGCGACGCCCTACAATGACTGCAGCTGCCATGTTCTAAGAGGTTCTATACAACAGACAACTAAGTACATCGTGACTGCTGTAACCATCTTTTATTTGCTTCTAAAAATCAAAATACCATTTAATCTCAATATTTTTTCCCTAACTAAATTTTGAGCTTGAATAATGTGACACCATTTCTCTGTCATTCTCTGTGTTTTACATAAACCAGATAACCTGGCATTCCATATGAAGAACGGGATGAGAAACTTCAGGTATAAGCCAGCAGACTACCAACAGTTATACGCCTTAACCAAAGCCACCAAGTTAGCGTCTGCTTCTGCGGAGAAGAAGGTTAGAGGCTCTTTTTTTTTTTTTTTAAAGTTTGATAAACTGAATTTCTAGGAGGGATGATAATATTTATAGTGGAAATAGAAAACAGGCGACTCTCCAAGTCATTTTTAGAACCCCAACTATTAATAGTGTCTCCCCAGTTCTGCCTAGTTTATGTTTAACTGACCTTGAGACCTCAAATCCAATGTTGTTTCCTTTAAAAAAAAAACTTTTTAGAATCAGGTCTAGTTACTATAGAATGGAGGCATGTGTTATTGCAGTTAGTATTTAATATAATTTTATTCCCAAGCTTATCTGACAGACTACCTCTTTATCCCAAACAGTGCCTTCCAAAGGGTAAGAGATTACACTCTGTTAGTCACGTGTCTGCAAGTTAAGTAGGAGACACAGCCTGAACTTCGTGGTCTGCAGTGATTAAATAGAGGAAATACTACAATCAATTGAGAATTAGTGAAGTGTGAATTGTGTCTTTAATTGTGCTATGTCAGAATCCATGTGTCAGAATCCTCTACCCCATAGGGTGAATTCCTATGATTGTGCCAAAATTAATGAATATTTTTACTGTGTTGAGATCTACACCAAGTTTCTTTCTGAAGTAAAATTACTACAACATATCCTCTACATCTTTGTCAATGTTAGAATATATAAATATTTATTAATAATTTTATCCATCCACTCACCTACTCATACACTTGAGATGCATCACAAGAGACATTTGGGTTGTATGTTGATTAGCTGAGTGTTAGCTTCGGTATTTGGCCAAGGCTAATTTCCCTTTAATCATTGCTCCCAATCAGAAGCCACACTTAAGCCTTTAGTTATTAAAAGCGTTACATTTTTATCACTAAGTACAAGACGAGACGCTGTTCTTCAGTGTCAGCTTTTGGACATCATCTCAGGCCCTGGATGCGCCTCTCAGCTGCCCTACTAAACAGCATCACTGATGTTTTCGTTCATAGTAGACTGTAAATCCCCAAAGAAGTGTTTTGGTTACATGTTTTTCTAGAAATAATGGAACCTAGGATTTGTACTCTGGTAGATTTCTTTAATTACTGAAAATGGCCCAGTCTGTAGTGGTCGTTATATTAAGTTTTTGATTCCATTTTTAATCCCCACAGATCCAGGCGAGGAAGTGTCTTTTGAAAGCAACTGTGTCTAGTCTGTTGTTTTGCATTTCGGTTAGTGAGAATGAATGTGTTTTGAGAACTGTTAAGTAACTTTCTGATACTTTGATTTTTCTTCATATAATTTACTTTTTTATTACATCTGGATTAAAGAAGATGTGTTAGGAATGTATTGTACATGAATTTTGGAGCTGTTTTCTTCTCATTCAACTTAGAGAATTTACATTGACATTTTAGTTTACTTTTTAAGATGCAAATAATTACTAAATAGTGTTTCCTTAGAAGACTCAGGGCTTAAATAGGATTAAAGAGCTGGGAATTATATAAGGCTCTTAAAATCTATTTTAGCATTATTGATGTTTATCTGCCAAACAGTCTGTCCTAACTAGAATTACCAATGTTATCTCTGCTAGTCATGCTCTTATTATTACTTACATTTTAATAAAATATGTACAGGCTTAAGGAGTAATGTCAGAGATAGCAGTTCACTCTGAATATTAGGATTAATCATGTCCAATTTCCTATTCATTTCACTACTGTATTGTTCACTGTTTACAGATGAGATGGCCTTAACAGCCATTGTTAATGGTCACAGCACTTTAGCAATATCAAATACACCCAGAATGGTAGGATGTTGGCATGGAGACCCATAAGGAAAAGTAGCACTTCAAGCTAGATCTGGACTCCTCAACCACTCGCCAGGAATTCGTTACTGACCTAGGGGTGTGGGGTAATGTGATGCTGTTCTATAGAAACCCTGTGTCACTGACCATGGTCAGCTTCTAATGCCCGGTGAGACTCCAAGGTAAATAATCAAGCTGCCCAAGGACCGACCAGTCTCTAATCTGAAGCTGCATAGTGGACCCGGGCTGGAAACTGAGGCCAGTTTGTGGTACACCATGTCTCCATTTGTAACTTATTAAGTTTAAAAGCAATCTTCATAATTATTTTGATTTGACTTTGCTTTGGATGGGTATGTCTTCTTGTTTAATTCAAATATCCATCCATTAAGTCTTTCTAACCTGATAGAGAACTGCACACATGACCACAATTAGTTTGAATCGTGTGCTGAGTCACTGTGTGACATCACCCAGCTTCAGACAGGAGGAGCTTTGGCCCCAGTGTTCTTTATGAGGCTACCACACCCTCCCCCATGCTAAGCTGCTCTGAAGCAAATCATTGATATCATAATATTTCATGTAGAAACATGGAGTATGTTACTTGAAAACATTAGAACTTAGAAGCCCTGTCATGCCACTACCATGTATGAAAGTGTTAGCTTCTCAATAATTTTATCTAGTTAGTATTATTAAATTTCCTTGGGGGGCCTCAGAAGATTATTTCAAAATTTTCCTCAAATGGGCATCTGAATACAACCCAGATATGGTGATTCATTCTTGTTATTTCGCTTCACTTGGTTTCCTCCATCCTCTTGTAGGTTTATAAACTTGTAAGTCCTGAAGAAGCTGCATGATATTGGTCTTATAGTTCCTCATAGTTAGAGTTATGCCGACTGCATCATAGTGTGTCACGAAACACGTTTTTCTCTTTGCGTTTCCTGCGCTTTGTTATAGTCGTATATAGTTCTATATAGTTCTATCTAGAGAGCTGCTCAGATTCAGGCTCAGCTCACATCGGAAAGAACACTCACTGATAGGATATTTTGTCCTCCAGTCTCCACTGTAAATGGTGCCACAGTGAGTAATCGAGGACCCTTTTGCCAAGATGGTTTCCAGAGCTATTTCTATAAATGATGCTGCTAGGTCAAAGTTAATCAGTTATGGAAACATCTTATATATAGCCACATTCTCTTCTGCGGGGCTTGTCTCATTTTCTATGCCCATGAGAATTTAAGAGGCTCATGGGCTGCTTTGTTCAATACCCGCGTCACCGCCAGCCTGACTGATGAGGAACTGCATCCTAGGGCGGTTTTTCCCTTGGTGTGGCATGGACACTTTTTCATTGCTAGAGCTCACATCACATCCTAGTGAATTTTGTCAAATGTCTCCGCACGTTCCCGGCAGCTTCAGCTCTACACTGCTTGGGGATGTTTAGTTCTCAACTGGGACTCTCTGACCTATAGTCTTTTGTAGTATTTCAGAAGGCATAGTTGGCAGTCTCGTGTCTTAGATAATCATAATAAATCAGACACAGTGGGGTTTTATGATCTTTTACTAAATTCATTACTCTTGATTTTTTCCCCTCAAAGTATTTTAAATGCATTCTGCATTAGTTATCACCCACCTTAAAAATGATTTTATCTGGCTTATTGCCCGGTAAAATGAATTAGAATCATGGAACAATCTCAGCTGATGAAGATACAACTCTAAATCTTTGCGTTCTTTTAAAGCCTTTGTTTTTCTTCATTTGTGGCCTGAGGATAAAAGTGGAGTCAATGGTTGAATTTCCAAAAGAACAAAACAAAAAACCAAAAATTAAGATGTTGTACAAAGTACTGGAAGTATCTAGTGAATACTGGTAACCTGATTTTTGACTTTTATAATCTACTTAATTGGTCTTTCCCTGGGCCCAAAGGCGACAACATTGATTTTTTTCCTTAAGCTGTAAAAAATATGTTCACATCTTCCACCAATATGTTTTAATTTTTTGTACAGCATGGACCAAATATGTCAAAAGAATCTAATTTTAAAGTTCTGTCTGTTACAAGAAATTTTAGAGGCTGTAGATGCTTAAAAATTTGAAATAAGATTTAGACATTCTCCCAATGAGGAGCAGAAGAAGGGAGAACATGAGCAAAGAAGTTGGGACCACAAGGGGTGCACCCACCCACTGAGACAGTGGAGCTGATCTTTTGGGAGCTCACCAAGGCCAGCTGGACTGTGACTGAAAAAGCATGGGATAAAATCGGACTCTCTGAACATGGCGAACAATGAGGGCTGATGAGAAGCCAAGGACAATGGCATGGGGTTTTGATCCTACTTAATGTGCTGGCTTTGTGGGAGCCTAGCCAGTTTGGATGTTCACCTTCCTAGATATGGACGGAGGGGGGAGGACCTAGGACTTACCACAGGGCAGGGAACCCTGACTGCTCTTTGGACTGGAGAGGGAGGGGGAGAGGAGTGGGGGGAGGGGGAGAAGGGTGGGAGGAGGGGGAGGGAAATGGGAGGCTTGGGAGGAGGCGGAAACTTGTTTTTTTTTTTCCTTTTCTCAATAAAAAAAAAAGATTTAGACATTCTCAACTCAAGTGCTAGCATATCAGAACATAGAAATACCCCATTCTTGCAGTTTTTCCAATAGGTAGAAATTGAATTTTTTTTTAACCAGTATCTCCTACCAAATTTAAAAAAAACTTTATAGTGATAACATTCTTAAGAACTTCTATGGGAAAGGTTTGACTTCATCCTTTGGATTAATTTGTTTGCTCATGTCCCTAATTTTGAATCAGAAACCGGAACAGCGCAAAGATAAACTCAAGGTTAAAGTAATCAGTGAACAGCAGCTGGAAATAGCATGCATTATGACGATCCCTTTTTGGAACTTGTCTCCTCAAGTTTTTATATCTTCATTCTTGCTATTTTACAGCTATTAAAGTACTGAAATAGTGTAGTAGCAGTAAAATTATGAACTATGTATATTTGTCAAGTTTCTGATTTGTACTTTCTGTTTTAAAGGTTTATTTGTTTCATTTTGTAATTGTGTGCATGTGTGTATCTTGCATGGGTTTGTGTCCATGAGGGCAGAAGGGGTTGTCAGATCCCCTGGAGCTGGAGTTAGAGGAGGTTGTGAGGCACCTTGTGGGTGCTGAGACTCGAACCTAAGTCCTCTGCAAGAGCAGCACCAACGCTCTCAACCCCTCAGCCATCTCTCCAGCTTTGATTTGTATATACATACATATCTAAAAGTGTTAACACGAAACACAAAGTTCAGAGTCCACATGGCTATTAACAGAGTCTAACCAAGTATCAGACACTGCTAGGGGGATTGGAGTCAGGCAACATTCAGTGTTGGACGATGGTCACACAGATGGTAGAGCTATAGCGCTAAGAAGCAGGGGACTGTGAGGCAACATAGGGTTGAACTATGTCGCTGCCACCCTCAGGTCAGAGGAACGAAACAAAGGCGTGGGGTGGAACCACATTCCCCGGGAGGAAACCTCTGAGCTATTTGGAACCATGTCCAGGGAAAACTGGGTGCGCTGGAGAACCTTCTGAGAAGAGAGGGGTGGGCAATGCTTTAGGAGGGGGATTATGATGTGTCGGCCTTGTCTTGTCTCCTTCCCTCCAAACTTCTGTAGCAGACATTTTCCGTCATTTAAACCCATCTAGAAGCCAGCCAAGAAAGAGGCTGCTTTATGCCCGGGCACAGATCAGGGAGATGGCAACAGACCCAAACCTGACAGAAGTTGGCTGCAAAGTCCCTGAAGCACTCGTGTGTGGCATGCTAAAAGGCTTGGGGAATACTACATTTCGTTAAAAATTTAAGTTTCCCTCTTCCATAAGTTTTCAGTATTTGTTAAGTACCTTTCAATAACTATTTGCCTAAGTCTGAAAAGTTTATTTATAAAGCCATGAAGTTGAATGATTGCAGCTCCATTTTCCAGTCCCTGTTCTTGATTACTGACGCTGGGACTAAAGCCAGGTTCCCTAACAATGGATTTAATGAACCTTTCCCATCTTGTGATGAGGGCTCAGATGAAATCCAACCCAACACCAAGGGCCTATGGACTGGTATTTTCAAACTTTACGGTTTCTTTGAACCTAATCCTCTGATCTTTGGCATCCTTGTGTATAAAAATGAGAATGATGCTCTCTAAATATCTTGTAGGAAACATGTGTCCAAAATGGGGACAAATTTGTGGAATCTTCTGAAGTCTTCCTTGGGAATGAAGTGGGGGTGTTGCTTATTTAGTGAAAACCAGAACGGCACTGCCGGGGAGAAGGCTCGGCAGTTAAGACCACTCGCTGCTATTCCAAGGGACCTGGGTTTGGTTTCCAGGATCCAAACAGTGGCTAACAATCATGAGTAACTCCAGTTCTCAGGGATATGTGATGCATAGCCCTGGATGCAGGCAAAACATCCATGCACATAAAGTAACAGTAAATAAAGATTATTTTTAAAAAAAAACAAGCAAAAAAATAAAACAAATGAAAAAGCCAACAACTTCACCTTTTTGCATGCCTGAAACAGGGTTCTCAAATTGGCCAATATCCCAGGCCATGTCCTCTTTCTTTGCATTGATTCTTTGTTTCTTGAGACAGCTTCAAACTGTTTCATTAAGGCTGGCCTTGAATTCATGATTCTCCTGCCTCTATGGCCCGAGTGCTGGGATTATTGGCATGTATCACTGGTGTACAGCTCTCTTCTCCCTGATATTTATTCAGTACTTATTTTAGGGGGATTGCATGTTAGAAGATGTACCAGTGATGTTGGAAAAACAGGAGCCTTTCTTTTGTGGAAATACATTTCAAAAATACAGACTTTTTCGTAATTCTCTGAGAAGTTCATGCATATATTTTTGAGTATCTTCACCACTTTGCTCCTCCCCTGCAATTCTCCCCCAGGTCTGGGGGAAATTTTTTGTTTTGTTTTGTTTTTTGTTTTCAAGTTTGAACATTGCTACTCTTTGGTTCGTCCTCTAAATGTAGATCAGAAAAGCCATGGAGACTTCAAAGGTGGCTAAAGAGCAAATGTTGGTCAAACAACACAAGCAGGTGTGGTGGCAGGAACAGGAGCGGCTGCAGGGAACCAGGTGAGCCTGCCCCGCCCCCCCCCAGGTCACTGGGGATGTGTGGGAACTCCTGAGTGTCCCCATGACTGATTTACATCTGTAATGGTCCATGTTAGCTAAACCACACAATCAAAATTTCGAGTCATTGGAATTAGAGCCACGTTTTCTTAGCTTAGTCTGGAAGGCAGGGAATGTGTTGATAGGCCGTTGCTCTCTGATGGGGTAAAGGACATTCACCTGTACAGGCCACTCTCTCCCTCTTCTGCACTCCCCATCTCAGGCTTGGCTGTGTGCAGACACACATCACATGCTCATGTTTGGTTACACACTCTTCCCTCTAAAGCAGAGGCGCCTCGGGGGCAAACGTCACAGCCATCCTTTCATGGTGGGCACACAGAAGAGGATTAATAAATGCTCTCAATACAAAGGAGCTGAAGAGTTCGCAATACAAATGGAGGCTGCTCCGTGACTCACTCAGTTTTAATTTGAGCCCTGTTACTATTTGTAGCAAAGATGAATTAAGACAAAATAATAATTTGATATTTGACCTTAATTATAAGCTCTGCAAATTTTTTCCAAAAGCAATGACCAAAAGATATCTTCCATTTCAGGTTTACCCATTTGCTCTGACATTGTAGTATTTATAAACCATGCTTTAAAAAACATCATTGCACATACTCATTCTTAGGAAGATTTCACTGTGATCTTAGTCTATGTCAGGTTTCTGAGTTTCATCTCCTTTTCTTTCTTTGGGCTTGTGTACTTTCATGACAATGTGAACTTTGTACTCTGTGCAGTGATCCCAATACAAGAGGTGCAAGGGTCACAACTGACAAGGGGTTTAGATTATGATTCAACTTAACCCAGGAAAATAAAATGCTATGAACTGCACAATATACTTCAGCTATAAAAACCAAATCAGATACACCAAAACCCTTCAAACGTCACCTCTAATAGAGAAAAAAAAATATTCAAGGCCACTACAAAACCATTTTGAAAACGTGCATCATTGAAATACAATAAAGAGAGCCATGCGTTAACTTGAATCGTGGTGGTCACCTATGTAAGCACACACAATGGCGGGACCGGGAAGGGTTTCCTTTTCTTCCCATTTTGTAAATCTTGGCCATTCTGGATCCTGCCTAATGTGTGGACCGAGTTGATCCTGAGCCAGATAGATGGATCATGTGCATTCCATCATGGAAACTCGTTCTGCTGGCTGAGCTAGAAGGACAGATGTTGGGGGCAAGGAGCTCTCTCCAGTGAGGATGACCCCACTGTCTGCAAACTTAGAAGGAATAAACCCTGAACACAAATAAGAATGCTAATGTAATTTTCCGTGTTCTTCTAGAATGTAAGGTAATTCTCATACGCATTCAATGAAATGAAAAACTAAAAGCAATAGGAAACGTCTCTAATGGTAGGGACATGTCTAGATGTATGGGCAATGTAAGGACCTTGAACAAAATAGGAGTTTAAATGCTGCACTTGTCTAACCTCAGAATATCTGCCTGACATGATGGATGGCACCTGTAATCTCAGCACTCAAGATGCCGAGGCAGGAGGATTGCCACAACTTCAAGGCCAGTCTTGGCTAAATAGCAAGTTCCAGGCTAATCTGGGCTGTACAGTGAGAGCCTGTCTCAAAAATTTTTTAAAATAAACATACACACACACAAAAATCTGTACTTTCTTAATAAGGAAAAGATTCTTGTGTTTTACCCAAAGACCCCATTTGAAGACCTTAGACCTGCAGAAGATAAGGGGTACAATGGTAGTTAACCTTTCCTTGATGATTGCGTAGATACCAGACAAGAAGTTAATAACTGCTGTGCTTAACCTCCGTCTGGAAAACAGCCATACCAAGTAGGTCTCATTGCTCCCCTGCTGCCGCTGCTCAACCATCTGACCGGGTTTAGAGGGCTAATGTGTCTGTAAAAGGTAAACAATGTAGCATGTGCTTCTTGTGTTCCATCATCTTAGAGCTGCCAGGCTTCTCTTTTCCCCAGAAGGTTCCATTAGCAATCAAATGAGAGTTCTCCAGCCTTGCTAGGAAAACCAAGGGAAGCTGGCTGGGAGATAGTTCAGCTGGTAAAGAGCTTGGGAGGGAGGCACAAGGACCCGAGTTCCATCTCTAGTACCCACATGATAAAAAGCCTGGCATGACGGCCCACATGTGTTCCAATGAGGTGGGGCCAGGGGATCTGTAGAGCCAGCTGGACAGCAAGTTCAGCTGAGCTGGCCAGCTCCGGGTTGAATGAGATACCCTATCTCAAAAAGTAAGGTGGAGGTTGGAGAGTTGGCTCGTCTGTTCAGAGCACTGTTGCACTTCTTGGGGACCCAGGTGAGAATCCCAGCACCCACAGAGAATCTGGCAACTGTCTAACGCCAGGCCCGGGAGATCTGAAGCCCTCTTATCTTCAATGGCACCAGACATGTATGTGGTACACATCATACATGTGAACAAGGTGCATGTACATATGTGTAAGCAGAACACACAAACACATAAAATAATAAAATAAATACATTTTTTAAAATGAAAAACTGTAGAGCGGAGAGTGATTGAAGATGCCAAATGTCAACCTCTGAGTTTTGACCTCTACTGTGCACATGTACGCACACACAGAGGCATAAGTTAGGACCTTAAAAATCTGCTTGGAGGACTAGATAAAACTTCCAAATATCAAATTTGTGTAATATTTAAAGTTGTAAGTTTTTATTTGAAATTTAGCAGACTTATTCCAGTCCTCTTCCCTCTGGACTGTGTTACACGTTCCCAGAAGCACACGTTGCTGTTTCCATCTGTAACACAGTGAGCTTTGGCATGACCATTTGTGGACAGTGTATTACTGTCTGCAAAGCCACCGTCTGTAGAGGTCAGCCTGATGAAGGTGCATCCGGGTCTCGTACCGACCTCATTCTTGCCTGAGAGTTCAAAGTTCTGGGTGGAGACTTGGCTCCCTCAGATCACCAAAGTGGCAGTACAGGGGCTCCCGTTGCTTTCTCAGTCCCACCCCCCAATAGAAGATGTGGTTGTGTGAGCACTTCCTTTGTGCATAAACAACTCTGCTCTAAAGGGAATTCTGGTTTGTCTTCGTGATAATGCACCCGCCCTACCCCACCTCCAACCTCAAAAGAAAAATGGTGGTGGCACACACCTTTAATCCCAGCATGCAGGAGTCAGAGGGAGATGGATCTCTGAGTTTGAGGCCAGCCTGGTCTAGAGCATGAGTTCCAGGACAGCCATAGTTACACAGAGAAACCCTGTCTTTGATAAACGAGAGAGAGAGAGAGAGAGAGAGAGAGAGAGAGAGAGAGAGAATTTTCATCCTATGATTTTAATTCTCATCCTGTGATGGGAGATGAAATCTACTGTGTAAAAAGCTTTCACTTCTGACAACAACCAGAAGCTATGTTAATCTGTAACCATCCCGGCACTAAGAAATTCAGTAGATAGATTAAATTTTTTCTCCAATTACACAATACAATAAAAATCATGTTTGAAGCCAGGTGGTGGTGGTGCCTTTAATTTCAGTACTCGAGGCAGAGGCAGTTGGATCTCTGAGTTCAAGGCCAGCCTGGCCTACAGAGTGGATTCCAGGCCAACCAAGATACTAAGTGAGACCCTGTTACAATAATAAAGAAAGAGAAAAGAGAGCAAATGCAGCCACCTTGCGTGTAAGGGTTGCAGGTATGCAAAGGCTGGAAAATGGCTCCATTGGCAGAGTGCCTGGCTAACACGCACAAGCAGCTGAGTTTGACCCCCAGAAACCAGGTTTAAAGAGAAGTTGTGACCCCAGCATGGCAGAGGTGAGGGTGGACAGGTCCCTGGTCACTGGCCAGCCGGTCTAAGTCACTGAGTGACCTCCAAGCCAGTGAGAGGTAGTCTCCAAATAGTAGACAATGACTAAGATACCAAGGTTGACCTCTGACCTCTTTGCATGTACACTCTTAACATGTGAACATAAGTACACCTCTCCACCATTTCCAGGAAAAACTGCCTGCTAAGAAACAGAAGTATCATTTATAGTAGCCTCTCACCTCTATTCACAGATAGGAATTAGCTTAATAATGATGGTCTAGCCGGAATTCTAATTGGTCTTAGTAATAAAAACCTGGAGTCAAGAATTAAGGTAAATGCTGAAAGAGCAGAGAAGTAAAGGAGCCAGTCAATAGAGAGACTTCTTACCTCTACCGAATCCCCAAACCAAGGATCCTGTCTCTATGAATTCTCAGGCTAATAAGCCTGAGATCCTGTCTTTATCCATCTTATATTCTTGTTTCCACCTCTATAGTGCTGGGATTAAAGGTGTGTGCCTAGATCCCAAGTGCTGGGATTAAAGGTGTGTGCCACCCCTGTCTGGCTTCTCTGGTTAACTAGTGGCTAAGTTCTGCATGATTATCTCCAGGCCAGCTCTATTCGTTAGATCACAAACAAAACACCACCACATGATGGCACATATACACGTGCATACTATCCAATATTACAACATGAATTAACCATTTGGGAATAGTGTAAAATATCAGTGATAAGCAAAAAAACCTCACAGAACTATAACATGAATTGTTAAATATGCCGTTATTCCAATTATATAAAATACAGGTAGTTAAAGAATAGAAGCCTGTTTGTGAAAATAAAAATAATAATCATATTAAAGTATTAAAATTGCTACTATTTTCTCATGCCATTTTAATATTAAAGTATCCATTAACAACAGATCTGATTTAGTTACATAAATAAGGGGTACAGAAGTGTGTTGAATGCCCACCTGGAGGTGCATATAGTTTTACTCTAGAAGTGACCGTATCTTTAAACAAGTAGTAAAAGATTATCAATATTTATTGATCATTACTGGATAAAAACAAAATATTCTCTTGTTCCTATTTGCCTGCCTCAGACTCCCATCAGCTCTGACCTTTAGGGAGCCTCCTCGCAGGTTCAGGCTGGCCACTCTCCCTCTCTCCAGCCGCTGTTGCTATTTCTCACCCCTCCATCTGTAACCGCTCCCTTGGGAGTCTCTCTGTGCTGAATCCTGAGCAGGTGGGGTGGCTTCCCGGTGTCCTCAGATGCTTAGTGTAACATGCTGCCGAGACCTGCAAGGGCCACTGCCGGTGCTCACCCTGTTGTTTCTGCCCATGTTAGGAACATGGCTTGAGCGTATGAGAAGATGACCAGAACCCAATTCGGTGGACTTTTCCTACCCTGGTCGCATTTAAGCCTATATGTGTGATTAGGACTGTAAAGAAATTGATTGAGATCATGTCTGTTTCAGATGTAAATTGGAGTCGGAAATAAAATCTTGTCTCAATGAAGAGAGCCTTGGAAATGAATGCTTTTGTGAGCTTATGAATTTTGGTGAGTTTTTTTTTTCTTTGAACCTACTTATAAAGGGGAATCTTGTTTGGAACTATGGGAGCTGGTCACTCAACTTCATGTTCTTTTAGTAGTAACACCTGTTTGATTTTCTAAAAAATATGAAAAGTCAATAAACTAACAATCTGTTCTTTACGATGGTAGTAATGCATCTCCTTGATTCAATTTCTCTTCACACAGAGAAAGAGCTGGCAGAACAATGGTGCACATATCTTAAAGCTGTGATCCACCCTATTCATCAGCTGAGAACACACCTGAAGAGACAGCGCCAAACTTCCCAGCATGCACCCTGCCATACTGGATCTAATTCAGCAATGGTTCTGGAAGAGGTAAGTTTGTTGCCTTTTAAAAACATAATGTAATATTTCATTTTTGTGTCCCAAATAGAACAGTTGAAGCAGACACCTGCCTTGTGTGTTCAAGTAGAGGGCTCAACTTCTTAAATATGTGCTTGGATATGGCCAGGTACCCATATTTTAACTCATCCTCCTGCCTTCATCCTTGCCCCTCCTCCCAGGGCGCTTTGAGACTCTGCCCCGGTACAGAGAGATCAACTTGTCTGACTACTGAAATTTCCCATGGGCTCTTCCCAGTCCTTACACCCACATACAACCTGCTCCACTGAATCTCCTTCTTCAATCACATCTCCTGCCCCACACTGTCCCATTCCACATGAGCTGGGTAGCACAGAGGCTGCCTTTGTTCTGTGCCCTTCATATAGCAAGCCTACTCCTGTCTCAGAGCCCGTAGGTGAGCTGTTTCCTCTGTCAAGCTGTGGCACCTTCTGCCCTTTAGTTCTCCACAGTCCCTAACCAGCCATACCTGGGTTCTCACTGCTTTCCTCCTCTGCAGGCCTTTTTGTGTGCCTTTGTTTACAAGTGCGTTGTGCTGGAAGTAGGGTCTGAACTTTGATCTCTACTTGTCAGCTCCGCTATAAATGTTATACTGCTTTTACAGGTAATCAAAAGCTTTAACTACACCTAGACTAGTAACTCTGCCTAGTACTGTAGACTAGTAGCAAGGAAGCTGGAGAGTGAAGGTGTGGTTGAAGCCTCACCATCAGTGAACTCAAATGTAGAACAGGGTGACTGTCAGTACTAGGTGGCGAGCCCAGTTTTGGTGATGAGTGTGGGATCCTCACTGAGCCTTGCTTGTTTGAAGAGCCTTGGCTGCCTGGCAGCTCTTTTCTTCACTGATCTTCAAAAGGGTTTTCCCTCCCTCATTTTCACCCCCTCCTGGCTTCTGAGACTGTGTCTATGAAACTAACCTTGAGTGCATTGCAGTAATTCACACACTTCCTGTCCACACGCCACATCCTCTAGGTTGACTTTGTCAGGAAACAATCCAAGGCTGTCTTTGAAAACCTTAACCAGGAGCAACAGAAACTAGAAAAAGACCTTTCAGCCTGGAGTGTGAAGGTAAGTACGATGCAATGCATGATTGACTCAACCCACCTTTTATTTTTGTTAAATACAATAATAATCCCTTGCAGTTACTAGATTACCCTTCGGAAGAAAAGGCTAACCTGCTCAGCGAACACCCTACGGAGCTAGAAACTTTGGAGTGCCCGTACCCCGATCTGAAATCGTCAGTCCTTAATGAGTTCTGGAACTTGACAGAGAAATATCAAAAGAAACTTGAAGACTTTGATCTGCAATTAGAAGACATACGCAGGTGATCAAACATGGCTCCTTGACTCCTGAATACTGAATTTGAATTTGTGTTCAGGGTCACTATGCTTCTGATTTACCGTCTTCTAGTTATATGTGATTGCAATATAACCAATATAATTTTGACCTAGTTTGTTGAATAAAAAAACCCTGGGTGTTGCAAGGTTAGTTTAGTTTGTTCCTGGATGCTTAGGCTAGCTTAGCCCTGAAATAATCACACAGAAACTGTATTGATTAAAGTCACTGCTTGGCCCATTTGCTCTAGCTTCTTATTGGTTAACTCAATGCTTTTACTATAAATGATATTATGTGTTTTATTTGATGAATATCTATTAAAAAAATCTTTAACCGACAGTGCTCTCTGTTGAGTTCCTTGGAAAGGGTTCATGAAGGAGCTTCTAAGACTAGTCTAGAAGGTGGCCCTTGCCTCTTAGAAGACTGGCAGTATCAGGGAAGAAATAAGCACCCTTGTCCTAATCAAATAGGACTGCCCTGCACATGCTAATTGCAGGAAAGAGGAATAGTGAAGTCAGGTGAGTTTTCAGAGAGGTTTCTTGGAGGATTATAGAGAACTGGAATCTAGAGGTGGTTTGTAGCAGCCGTCCGCTGCTCTGCACACAAAGACACATGAATACATGCTACTAAGTATGGCAGATGACATATTACTAACTGAACTTCCGATTTATCAGGATCTCATGTTATTTTAACATGACTGCTTTCCTATTTGCTTCTAGTTGTTGGGTCTTGGGAGAATGCTCATGGTCTGTGTTTGTGTATATCTGTGGGGGTGTGCACATACTTTATTATTTATGGTTCAATTTAGTTTTTGGTTTTTTTTTTTTGAGTCAGAGTTTCATTGTGTAGCTCTGGCTGTCCTGGAACTCAGAGATCTGCCTGCCTCTGTCTCCTGAGTACTGGGATGAAAAGCTTCTGCTCCCATGCCTGGGTGAGCATGCGCATACTTCGTAAGGACTATTTGTTCATATCATCACCTTCAGCCAGTTGACCTGGGTTTCTTGTTGTTTGCAACTAAAAACTTTCCTAATTTGATACAATTATTACCCAAATTATACGCTTTATATTAGGGCCACAATTCTTCCCAACCCTCCTTAATTCTTTGCTTTCAAAATTTTATTTAATTTTTATTTGGTAATTTATCTCTATACAGATGGTTGTTGTAAATTATTCAGTCACAAAATGAATCTCCTTCATCACAATATTTCTGTATCTCAAGAACACGTCGCACATATATACTTATATATGCACACACTTTTAATAGTTATTTGTTGCAGCAATGAAAACCAAAAAAAAACTTAAAAGGACTGGCTAATTTTGTAGGAAAATGTACATTTACAAAATTGGGCAATATCCAGACGTTATAGTGACTGTAGAGACGAGGAAAGCAATACATAGTCCATCTTGAGCGAGGCAGGGAGGGGCTTCAACACAGTCACTCAGTTTTGCCTTTGCATGTCTAAAGCAATGCACAGACCTCGAGAGCATTCGTTGGTTCTGGAGAGGGAGACTGTAGGTGAGAGTGATTACAGGTAAACACTTGGCTAAAACAAGTAATTTTTTAAGACGAAAGGTTAAAAATAGGCAACAAAAAGAAAAAATATTGGCAACATGTGAGATGAAAGATTAAAATACCTACTATATAAAGAAACTTTGCTGGTTATTATTCAATTAATTTGCAAAGTAGAACAAAGTAGTGCAAAGAGATGAAGAAGGAAATCATTCCTTTTTCCTGCAAACGCTTATTTAGTGTCTACAAGCATAAGTCAGACAAAACTCTCAATACTTTTCTTAGTGTTCCATTGAAGAGACACCATGACCACAACAACTCTTATGAAGGGAAACATTTAACTGGGGCAGGCTACAGTTTCAGGTTTTAATCTATTATGGTCAAGGGCGAGAAGCATGGCAGCACTCAGGCAGACTTGGTTGCTGGGGTGGTAGCTGATGTGGAGAAACTAATTAGTCTGTTACTTTATCAGGATCTGCGTGCAGCAGGGAGAGAACCCAAAGTTTCCCTTTCAGTGATACACTTCCTCCCCCAATGCCACACCCACTCCAACAAAGCCACACCTCCTAATCCCTGTCAAGTGGCAGTACTCCCCAATGACCAAGCATTCAAATTCAAATATTGGAGCCTATGGGAGCCATTCCCATTCAGACACCCACTTGTGATCAAGTCAGCAGCATAGAGGTGTGGACATGGTTGGTGACGCAGTCATGTCCCACAGTATTAGAAGCTGTGAGGGCTACAGAGTCATAGGTTAGAGTCAGAATGTGCTGGGATTTCAGAAGGTAGACCGCAGTTCTGGAATAAGAAACACCTGGTGCTGTGTCTTGGTTGGGCGGTGACATTGGTGTGAAATTATGGAGTTGAAAGAGCTGGTCATGCAGACATTGGCATAAGAATATGGTAGCCCATGTTCAATGAGTATGTCCTACAAAGGTTCAGTGTCCAGGACAGATCAGCAGAATCGTTGGATGAGGTTCAAGAGGTAAGAGTGAATGGGAAACTATTATTTGGGTTAAGTGTGTATGTGTGTGTGTTTATGTGTGTGTGTATATGTGTGTGTTTGTTTATGTGTGTTGCTGGGAGTTGAACCCAAGGCCTCATGCATGTTCAGCCAGTAATATAGCACTGAGCTCTATCCTCACTCAAGAAGGATATATTTAGAAATGTTTTACAACCTCATCTTTTATTGTGAATGACCTTGAAGCTCCTAGAGCAGTGGTTCTCAATCTTCCTAATGCTGCAACCCTTTAATAGAGTTCCTTATGTTGTGGTGACCCCCCCCCAGCCATAAAATTATTTTTTGTTGTTACTTCATAACTGCAATTTTGCTACTGTTATGGAAATAATATAAATATCTGATATGCAGGATATATAATGTGTGACCCCATGAAAGGGTCATTCAACCTACAAAGGGATTGCAACCAGCAAGCTGAGAACCACTGTCTTAGATGCTGTGAAGCGGAAGAGAGCAGTGAGATGACCTGGTACTTGTTGCAGCAAAATCACTTCGGCAATTGCTGTACTTAAGGAGCCCAGGAAATGCAGCTGGAGCAGCCGGAGTTCCCTGCTGCACATGGCTTCTTTGAATTGGGCAGTTAAGAGGATAGGGATGGGCCGACTGTAAGTGGGTGGTTTGTCTGGGAGGGGTGGGGCTTGAGCATACTGAGTTTGGGGTATCCGTATTAATATTTTGGGCTTTGTGAGTTCAGAGTCTAGGAAGAAGATCTGGGCTGGAGTTTTATACATTGTAAATCAGCAACTTGAGGTTGGATATGATCACCAAAGCAACAAAAAGAAGCTCCCCCTTCTTCTGATACATGTGAGCAGGACAGTGTCAGAGAAAACAGAAGAGGGAGAAGTAACAAAAGACAGATATATAGATGTATGGGTGGAAGGATGGAGGAATGGATGGATAGATAGATGGATGGAGACAGAGAGCATGGGAAGGCAGATGAAGAGAAAGCAGCCTGTACTATCTGCGGGGAGGTGATGAGCCACTGAATACATGTTGTATGCGTCAATCAATGACTGATAGCTGTTTGGCTCTAAAAGAATTGTTGGTACCATTTACATTGAAGAGGAAGTAACTAGCTGGTTGGAGTGAGTTTGAGTGAGTGGGAGGGGATGGATAGAAAAGAATGAATATGAACAACTTGAAATTTTTTTTCTGCCAAGGAGAACAGGGTCTTTCTTTGCTGTGCTTTCCACTCACTTATGTTTTAATTTCATTTAAAATGGGAGCGATAGCAATGAACCATGCATGTGATGCTCACGGGGACAATCTAGTAAGGGATAAAGTTTAGGGGAGGCAGAAGGTAGGAGAGAGGGAGACAGACACACACAGAGGAGAGGGGAGACACAGAGGAGAGAGTGAGAGAAAAGAGAGAGAAGCAGCTCAGCACAGGGGATTCATGTAACATAGTGTGGGCAGGAATGGCAGCGCATGTGGTTAGATGCCAGGTGCTGAGATGTCACAGTGATCATTCTAAACACAAATGAGTCAGAAACTCATGAGCCTCTCTACTTATCTAAGAAATGGAAAACAAACTCAAATATTTACCTTGCAAGAATGGTCAGGCATAGCACAATTTTACCCAGGGTTAAAAATAGGATAAGGGAAATGGCTATTTATATATGATTGGCGTATAAGATTTTTCAAAGCCACAACAGCACCAGAAATCTTTATATGGGTCCAGGAACATGGTTCAGGCAGCAAAGTGACCTCCACACAAGCATGAGGACCTGAGTTCAGATCCCAGAACCGCATAAGAAGGCAAATGTGGCGTCACACCTGAAATCCTAGCACTGAGGAGATAGAGACTGGAGGAGCCCAGAGCCCCCTGGCTGGCTAGTCTACAACAACTGGTGGGCCCCATGTTCAGTAAGAGACCTGTCTCACAGTAGAAGGCAAAGAGTGGTAGATATCCAACATCAACTCTGGCCTCCATGTGTATACACTCACACACATACACGCATGCATGCACACACACTCAATATAAAGAGAATAATATTTGTCTCAAAAATATTGAAAGACAAAATCATTAAAGTGAAATAAATATTTGACTTCAAGTATGTTCAATATTAATTTTTCTCTTCCTACTGGTAGCAGAATCTTTAAGACTACCCTAGTTGGTTAGTGTTTTTTCAACTTGACATAACTAATGTCATCTGGGGAAAGGAACCTTAAATTGAGGGATTTCTACCATCGCGTTAGCCTATGGGCATGTCTTTGAGACATTTTCTTGATTAATGATGGATGTGTGGGTGGGGGGCCGCTGTGGGTAGTGCTCCCCTCAGCAGGCGATTCTGTGCGATCTGAGAAAGCAGGCTGAGCAAGCTCTAGAGAGCAGCTGGTCAGCAGCACTCCTCTGTGGCCCCCGCATCTGCTCCTGCCTCCAGGTTCTTTGTCTTCCCTTTACGATAGACTATAAATTTGAAATCAATGTTTTCTTCCCCAAGTTGCTTTTGGCATAGTG